GATACCAGGGTGCTCTATAACATACCTTCTGGGGAATCAATGCCGAGCTTAATCAAATCCTGATTTAAACCCTAAACCCTGGACCTTGAACCCTAAACCCCAAACCCAAAACCCTGAACCCTAAACCTTAAACCCTGCATGAACCCTCAACCCTATGAGAGTTTAGACCCAGGGCACCCATCCACAGAGAAGCTTCCCACGATCCTCGGCTTCGCTGGTACTACAGGGGCCTCTTTGAAGCAGGGTTTGGGGGTGTGTGCTCTACTATACTACTTATGCTGGGAGCCCTGAGGTCGTAAAGAATAGTTGCTAATGGTTGAAGCTTTTATAGTTTATGGCACCAAGTCTAGACTCCACTTTGGGTTCTTGTTTGGTGTTTTCGGCATTCATGATTTCGGTTCTCTGAGTCCCCGAACCATTCCGCGTGAGTCTCTCGACCATGTTTCACGAGGTCTTTGCGAATTCAGTTAGCTTCTAATGCAACAAACGCCCCTGCGCTCGTGCTGTGCAGCGTTGCACCTCGGACTTCAGATGCTGACGAAGAACGTGGGGTTGCTCATGCCCTGCATGGCAGCTGTCGATGCCTATAATCTGTCCACCACATCTGCGATAGTGGGGTATGGGGTCTCCTAACTCCCAAGCCCGATCATGTGAAGCTATGGCAGCAGAGTAGAACCACCCGAGTCAAACATCCAAGGTTTGCGACTGCAAGATTCCGATTATCGCGCATCGAGTTGTTTATGCTTGGGTTTCAGCTTCAAATGCTGCAAAAGTGATTCAGCCAGAGCAGACTTGCACTCCCCAAGCTTCCAAACCGAAAACCCCAGACGCCAAACCCCTAAAGCTGGGACTTCATTCGGGTTTTGGGCTTTTGGAGGGTTGGCCCATTTCTTGCTGGGAACCCCTGATCTGCAACTTGGCTTGGCTCAGGCACCTTTTGCACGCTATCCTTGGGCTTATGGGGTTTAGCGCGGTTTAGGGTCGTTGGCAGGTGGGCTCGGCTCCTTTTGCTGCTGGCCAGCCTTGCCGATGTCTGGGTGAAAGACATGAGCCGTGACCAAACACTGTCTGCTTCGCTCCACGCGACTTCGTATAGCCCGGAAATCCTCTACGGTCATGGCCCGTGGGCCGCAGACTACATGCGGTGCAACGCCGGCAACCATCAAATGTCAATACCTCTCGTTGTTTTTCCAGATGCTTGAGTCCTGTGGCTTGTACGTACTTGTACCACGGTGGCAACCACACCCCCCGCGAATCGGCCACAGCCATGTTTGACTACACTGTGACCAGCTACTAACACAATAACAATGAAAGCAACACCATCACCGCTACCAACAACAGAAACAGCAGAAGCAGCAGCGGCATGTTACTACCAAGATAAGGGGAACTAGTTGTACCCGGCCACAGCACTAGGACAAAAACTTATCGTGGCTAATACAAAACCTCTACGTCTCTACGAAGACTCTACGACGAAACCGACCACCCGCCAGAACGATCACAACGACCATCTACTACCACTACGACGACAACTGCGGCTAACGCCTCATTGTGACCTGAACTTCGATTGCTTCTTTGTACTACGAGAGCGGATCGCCTGGTTGCATGGCAACATGCTTGGTCACCGGTCCCTGTCTCTGCCTGTACATCCATCTCTAGCCTTCTTGGCTGGACTGCGCGAACCATGGACTTCTCGCATCGGCAGGTCTTTGAGGGCAACAGGGTTATAGCTTTTAGTTTTCCAGGTCCAAGTAAAATCTGACAGTGCGAGCGAACCTATGCCTGAAGTCGAAAACTCCTGAAACAGTAAGAAGCCGTCGGCCTTCGCCTGAGGAACCATGCAAACCCCAGCCCTCTGAGAAGAGTAGGATCTCAACTTTGACAGATCCCCAAGAGAAAAGTCATGAAGACATATGAAGACTAAGATTTCACAGGGCTAGTACATGCAAGGGCAGTAAGGGCATCGCACCCTGAACAACATGAGCACACAGCAAGTCTTCCCCAACGCCAAAACTTCGTTCCTGATTCCTCGGCTACTAACCATCTGGACCCCAACCCCAATACATGAAAAAAATCCCACCTGAGCTTGAACCGTCTTACACGTAAGCAACCACCAAACCTTCACTGCCATCCGAACATTACCGGGCCACGTCCAGCAAACACTCAACTGAAAGTCCAAATCCTGGAACTCTATCAACCCTAAGTCCTAAAGAAACTCTTGAACCCTTTGCGCAACTCTTGAATCCTAAACCCTAAACTCTTACACCCCTGAACTCCCTCCCTGACACCAGAAGTCACTAAGCCCTAAACCGCCAAACCCTGACCACATCCCTTCCGTCTGCAATTTCAGAGCTTTAACCTCAAACCGTCCTAAGCCCTAAACGCTAAACCCCCAAACCCTAAACCCTAAACCTCAAACCGTCCTAAGCCGACCGAAGCCGAAGCCCTTGGCGCTGAGTCAGAGTAGGGCGGAGATCCCTTCGTCTGTCACCAGGCCCCTCTGCCCCTTGGGAGCCAGGGACATGGCTGAAGGGCTTAAGGCTACAGAGGGTTGAATACCGGTTTAGGGCTTATAGGGGGTTTAGGGGGGGGTAGGGGGTTTAGGGTTCAGGGTTTAGGGTTTATAGGGTTTAGGGCTTAGGGCCTGGATAATTAGAATAAGGTTTTACCTTAAACCCTAAACCCTAAGCCCTAATAGGGTTTTGGGGGAGAAGATCCTCTATACTCATAGTCGGAATCCTCAAGAACAGGTTGCATGAGTGCTGAAGTTTCTACCCTTAAACCTAAAGCCCTAAACAGGAAGCGGGTCGAGGGATAGGAAATGCGATGGTTGAAGGGCAAAAGGGCGACTGGAACGGAATCCTCCACAAACCCTACCTTCTTCGTAGGAAACCCTACCTTTCATGATGATGATGATGTCATTATAAAAGTCGAAAGGTAGTTTGCGTGCCTGAGGTAAGCCCACGAAGCGTTGAGGCAGTCCCCAAACACCCTCAAGGCCGAACCCCCACCTACGACCTCAACTCGGAAACCGCCTGAGACAGCCAAACGACGAAAGTCCTGGCGTGGCCCTAAACAATCCTGGTTGCAACAGCATAATTTACGCAGAAAGCCCTTTGTATTACACCCAAAGCACCTTTTGCAATTACCTTCTAAAATACCCCTAAACCTACCCTACACCCCAACCGTTCAACCTTGAACCCTGGCCCCTGAAACCCTAAACCCTAAACCATCTAAAACCTGAAGCCCTCAGCGCTGCTCTTTGCGGCGCGAGGCACCCCGACGAAGCGCCGGACGGCTGCTGTCACGGAAGCCTTCCGGGGGCCAACTCGGGGGTTGAGGAGTTTGTTTTTTTTTTTGTTGGTGGGGTTTAGGGTTTTTGGGTTTTAGGAGTCTTGGGGTTTTTGGGAGGGGATTTAGGAGCCTTAGGGTGTTTTTTTTTTGGGGGGGGGGTTAAGCCCTATCCTGAGGAGTTTAAGGTTTGTAAGGGGGTTTAGGGACTTGGGGTTTAGGGTTGATGAAAGGGTTTAGGGGTTTGGGGTTTCAGAACGTACAACTGTTTCGGGTTTAGGCTTTGGTTTAGGGTTTATAAGGTCTCGGGGTTTAGCGGTTTGGGATCGAAGGCTTTAGGGTCTATAGGGGGTAATCTAGGCGCCATCATGCTCAGAATCATTTGATGCTAAATGTCTATAGGGCCATACCATAGTTACTGTAGGGACTATAAGGAAAAAACTATAACTATGACTAATCACCTGGACCTCCATATAAGAGTTTGAGGAACAGGAGCATAAGCCCTAAACCCTCAACCCCAAACCCGGTGCCAAACCCCAAACCCTGAACCCTAAACTCCTAAACACTAAACCCTAAAAGCCAAACTCCAAACCCTAAAACCCCAAAACCCTAACTCCAAACCCCTGAACCATATAAGCTCGTCATCCGGGAGCCAGCGTTTTCAGGCGTGCTCGAATCTGGAAGCTCGTACTGAGTACCAAAAAAGAGAACTTGTACTTGTTGGGTTTAAAGTTTAAGGTATACCTGCACCCTAAAGAACCTACCTTTTTCGGGTTCCTTATTATGATTTCTTTATATAAGTCCTTAAGAGGGTAGGTTATGTGGGGTTAAGTAGGGGTTGAGGGATTAGGGCTAATCGGAGCGTGCTGGACGGTGCACGTTACGAGGCATGTACAGAATGTCTGTCCAGGTTCCAAGATGTCACTCAGAGCAAGCACCCACAGTTTGAACTCGAGATGTTCAACATAGGCGAAGTCTGCCGTAAACCATGCAATCGATCGATCTATCTCGGTTACTGTCTATCTCTACCGTCTCTACCTACCTTTGTACGCCTATCTCAAATGTAGTCTATCTATCAATCAATCAATCAACCTATATCTGTCTATCTCTCTCTCTATCTATCTCTCTATCTATCTCTCTATCTATCTCTCTATCTATCTATCTATCTATCTATCTATCTATCTATCTATCAATCTATCTCTCTATCTATCTGTCTATCTATCTCTCTGTCTATCTATCTATCTATCTATCTATCTATCTATCTGTCTGTCTGTCTATCTATCTATCTATCTATCTATCTATCTAAGTATCTACCTATCTTTCTACCGACCTACCAAGCTACCTATCTATCTAACCTTGCATATCTAATTACACTAATACATATATCCTCTCTTTCGGGTACTGTACGGTAACCTCCCCGGCTCTTGCGCCTGATTTCGTGGTGGTCTGTATATCCATTGGAGGTCCTGTGGACATCGCGGATGCTCCTGCGGACGTCACAGGCTGTGCGAACCACGGGTTTACTGTAGGGTTTACTATGCTTTACTGCTACTTCTCTGAGCTTCGAAGCGCTTTGGGTCTACTGATTTTAAAGCTTAGGGCTGCATCGAACCAGAACCAATCCCACCGATCTGCAGCTCCACTTCCTGGATGTAGTGGGATGCTTTGGCTCCATCTTTGAAAACCCGCGCAATAGGCTGTGCAAAGGGCGCCTCGTAATACTTTGACCAGAAGCCTTCGTAGGCTGGAAAATGGCGGCCGGGGTGGCTGTAAACCTCAGCTGGCTCTCTGCGTTGGGTTGAGGAGCTTAGGGTGTGGACATAAAGCTCAACTTCCTGTAACTATACACCACGTAACCGCAATGTATCCCAACATACATGTGTATGCGTATCATAGTTGTATATATACATATGTATATACATACATATGCATACGTGTAGGCATATATATATATATATATATATATACACGTATATGACTACGGTTAAGCCCTGCATGATGTACGTAATGTCATGTGTCATTGTAAACAAGCATAGACAAACCTACAAGCACTGTCATGTGCGTCACGTTGCTAACTCTTCAGCTGCAGAAGCAAAGGGTCTTACGTACCCATACAGTAGAACGTATAGGGTTTAGAAGCTAAGAATCACTATGATGGTTCGTGCAAGTATCTCGGAGCCCTTAAAGGAACCTATCCTCAAGCCCTCAGAAGAGCCCTTACAGGCACCCATAATCGGTACTTAGGCCCCTTTGGGAGAAGCTTGGGACCCGGGCCAAAAGCGGGGGAGCCGATGCAGCACCAGCCTTAACAGTGACACAGACTCATCTTTAGGGTTCAGAGGTTTAGGGATTAGGGGTTTAGGAAGTTAGGATCTCGGGGTTTAGGTTTTAGGGGTTTGCAGGGGGTTGACGGTAGAGTTACTAGTAACATGGGGGTTTGGAATTTCGACTCTCGCACTCGCTCAAGGCAGACAAGGCTTTGGGTGTTGGCCCGAGGCCCAAAGCCGTCTCCGGTCTCAGCTTTGTCGTATCACGTGGTCTCACACTCTAAACCCCTAAACCCTAAACCCTAAACCCCTAAACCCTAAACCCTAAACCCTAAACCCCTAAACCCTAAACCCTAAACCCTAAAACCCTAAAGCCCTAAACCCTGAACCCTATGGACCAGAAGTGACAAGCCCTGAAGCCCCAGATCTTCCCGGCACCCCAGGCCAAAAAGAGTTGGGAGGTTGAGAATGCAGCTTGCTCGCAGGAGCGGACATGTGTGACCGAAAAAGGGGCTCAGAGTTTCTCGTCTTCAGGGCATCAAAGCTGTTAGTTAAGGGGCCGGTAGAACATGCGTACACTCTGCCTGATCACTGTCTACCACGGTCTTTCTAGTTGCCGTAGTCATGTGCAGACATCTCGATCAACCCTGTTCTCGTTTATAAAATAGACACAAACCCTAATCCTAAACCCTACACCTTAGCATCAAAATAGCCCAAAAGCCCTCATATAACAGGGTCTTTGGGCCCAAGAGCCTTAAAACTAGGAGTCCTTGGAGGGTAAGGGTAAACCCATGCTAGGAGAGCCCTAAACCCTATATCCTAAACCCTAAACCCTAAATCCTATATCCTAAACCGCCTAAACCCATGCCAGGAGAGCTCGCCTCCCCCCTGCAGTAGATGGAGAACGGGCGATCAGAGCGCTCGCGCGGATAGGCCACGCCTTAGCCGCGCACGGAAGCCCTCTTAGGGCTCAGGGTTTTGGGTTTGAATTTCTCCTTGTGAATTACTCGCAGAAAAGCGTCAGGTTCTGACACAGTGTGGTCAAGTTGAACGTCATGCCGGGACAGCTGCACAGGGACTTCTGAGCGTCATGTTAAGCCGTGTGGATTGGCCTTTTGTCCCCCAGCTCCTCCGCCCCTTCTTCAGCCAGAAAAAAGGCAAACCTTTCGGCAGCTGAAGTGTCAGGTGCCCTCAACTGCGCCCATGAACCCCCAGGCGACCAATAAACCCGTAGCACCCACCCTAATATAGCACCCTAAATAATAGGATCCTTATTATTATTATTATAAGGACCCCAAAATAAGGTACACCCTAAACCCTAAAACCCCAAAATCAGGTACCCTAATTTTCGGAAACCCCCACATCCTTCTTAGCCAGCACACACGCTTGGAGGTAACGGGTCCCATCCAGCTTCGAGCTCCAGCCGTAGTGGGTATGCCCGAAGATGTGGAGATCCTGACGGTTGCTGTGATGCTGCGGTTTTGGTTTTTGGGTTTAGGGTTCAGGGTTCAGGGTTTAGGGTTCAGGGTTTAGGGTTTAGGGTTCAGGGTTTAGGGTTTAGGGTTAGGGAGCAGGGGCGAGATATTGATCCCAAAGAACCGGTAATAAGGGATCTGGGGCTCGTCATCATGCCCGTCAACCTCCGAATCCTGGACCCTGGCATCTGAAAGTTCACGAACCCGGAGAATGGCCGGGCATGTTGCGCTGGTGCGGGTGTGCCATCCCTCAATCTATCTTGACGGTTCGGGCTCTGGGCTCAATAGTGTTTCAATATGATTCAAACTGAGAGATATTCTGCCGGCTGTAAAGGATTGGGAATTATCCACGACGGAAAGCAAAATACTAGCCTTGTATGCCCACTATATTCAGTATATGCTACCATGAGATCCCTGTATTCCTCTGGCCCCAACGCCTGAAACTCAAAGCCTCGAGAATTAATATCCTGAAACCACGGTCACGGTCACATAGTAGAACTCGTTGCCATCACCAGTAGCTATAGTAGGCAGAAACACGTGCACTAGCATGTGCTAATTATCACCACAGACAGCGAAAGCAGCAACAGCAAGCAACAACAAGCGCCGCAGTGTGGAACAACAGCTCAAGTAGGGTCCCTTTTATTAGGGTCCTCTTTATAAGAGTGCCGTACAATACTGGCGACTAAAAAAGGGACCCTAACTTAGAGAACTACCCATCTCGACGGCCGCAACGCCCAAAAAGCACGCCGACACGTCGGCAACGCAGGGCCTCCAGAATTAGAATAAGGTTTCTGTGTGTGTGTGTGTGTGTTTGTTTTGTTGTGGGGGGGGGGTCCTTATTATACTTGTGGTATAATATACCCCAAACCCTATTCTAATGCTTAAGGCCCCGTTATTATGCTTGCTTCACAAAGTAGAACCGAGCTTAGAACCCTAGCCCAAACCTCCAAACTCCATAAAGTATGAAAGTCTTTTAAAACCCTAAAACCCCATAAACCTCCAAAGTCTAAAGACTCTGAATCAGAAGCTCCAAACCCTAGAACTCTCTACTGAACCCCAGCAAAGCCCTATAAATAACGCTTTCAACGTTCTTCAACCCTCTAAACCCCCAAGAAGAACCCTCTAAACCCCTATAAACCCTAAACCCCTAAAGCCTAAACTCTACCGAACCGAGGTACCGGAGCCAAAGCTCGTAGGCGTTCTCCCAGATGTCGGGATCCCACGGCTTTGGCGATGGGAGGAAAGTAGAGGAGCCCTCAGCTCTAGGGCTGTGAGGTAGGGTTTAGGGTTTAGGGTTTAGCGGTTTAGGGTTTAGGGTTGAGAGTTCTA